TTCCCATCCCCTTTTTATTTCCTCTCTCTTCATTTCTATTTAATGTATTCATCATATCATTTCCAATTCTCTTTTATTTATCTCCACGCTCTTTCCAGCATGTACACTTCTTTACTTTTCTTTACATTTCATTTCTCTCTGTTTTCATTTCCTTTCACCCTCCCTCCCGCACCAACATCCGGTAAGTAATTACACAGCCACTTACAACACTTATAATCACTTACATCGACTTTCATCGCTCCCTCGCCTTATTACTTAATCATCTTATTATCTGTTTTTATATTCCACCCTTTTTCTCAAATTCTAACCCTTATTTGCGTATTAATTTCCGTTTTCCACCACGGGAAGAAGACCCGAGACGTACCCGGAAATCAGCTGCAAAGGGAGGCACTCGCTCGCTCACTCCATGTCAAGGTGTACCTGGTTGGGTTTTGGCCACGAAAGCCCCGTCCCGGCCCGGGCGCCTTGTACTTGACCAGGTTTCATGCACGGAAGATTTGTACTTGGTTAAGAAGCCTTGTATTTGTATAGGTTTCATACACGGAAGCCTTGTACTTGGTTAGGAAGCTTGTATTTATGGAGGTTTCATGAACGGAAGCCTTGTATTTGTGTAGGTTTATGCACGGAAGCTTTGTACTTGGTCAAAAAGTTTGTATATGAATAGGTTACGTATCTGCAAGCCTTGTATTTGGTAGTATGTCCGCAAACACAGTACTTGGCCTGGCCTTATGCACGGAAGCCTTCTATATGGCCACATTATATGTATGGAAGCCTGTTACTCATGCACAGATGCCTTGTACTTGGTCAGGTCATTGGCACGGTAAACTTTATAGCTGGCCAGGTCTTACGTATGGAAGCCATGCACGTGGCCTTCATATACACTTGTACTTGGCCAGGTCATATGCACGGAAGCCACGTGATTGGCCCAGAAGCCTTCTAGGAGGAAGCCCCGCGTCTCTACCGCCCACGACGTGCTGCGGGCGTGAGGTCCCCCGCTGATTGACGGCGGGCTTCTGGGCGGCCAAAGGGGCGGGGAGAAGCGCTTCGTTAGAGGAGGAGGAAGGGGAGGATGAAGGGAGGGGAGAAAATGGAGGAAGAGAAGAAGATGGAAGGGGAGGATGAAGGGAGGGGAGAAAATGGAGGAAGAAGAGATGGAGGAAAAGATGAAGATGGAAGGGGAGAAAATGGAGGAAGAGAAGATGGAGGAAGAGAAGAAGATGGAAGGGGAGCGGATGAAGGGAGGGGAGAAAATGGAGGAAGAGAAGATGGAGGAAGAGAAGAAGATGGAAGGGGAGTGAATGAAGGGAGGGGAGAAAATGGAGGAAGAGAAGATGGAGGAAGAGAAGAAGATGGAAGGGGAGCGGATGAAGGGAGGGGAGAAAATGGAGGAAGAGAAGATGGAGGAAGAGAAGAAGATGGAAGGGGAGCGGATGAAGGGAGGGGAGAAAATGGAGGAAGAATAGATGGAGGAAAAGATGAAGATGGAAGGGGAGTGAATGAAGGGAGGGGAGAAAATGGAGGAAGAGAAGATGGAGGAAGAGAAGAAGATGGAAGGGGAGCGGATGAAAGGGGAGGGAATGAAGAAAGGGAAGAAAATGGAGGAAGAGAAGATGGGGAGGAGCGGGTGAAGGGAGAGAAGAAAAGAAGATGGGGGAAGAGGAGAAGATGGAGAGACGGAGGAGGAGATGGAGGAAGCGAGAAGATGAAGCTAGAGAAGATAGAAGAAGATGAGACGGAAGGAAAAAGAGAAGAAGATAAATGAGGCGAGAAGTTGGAAGGAAGACCAAGAGGAGGAGGGGAAAGAGAAGAAAGTGAAAGGAGAAGAGAAAATATGAAAGAAGAAAAGATGAATGAAGTGGGGAAGAAGACTAAAAAAGAATAGAGGAAGGAGGATGAGAACGAGAAGTCGCGTGGAATTGGAGTAAACGAGATGAAAGAAAAAGAAAATGGAGGAAGAGAAGATGGAGGAAGAGAAGATGGAGGAAGAGAAGATGGAGGAAGAGAAGAAGATGGAAGGGGAGCGGATGAAGGAGGGGAGAAAATGGAGGAAGAGAAGAAGATGGAAGGGGAGCGGATGAAGGGAGGGGAGAAAATGGAGGAAGAGAAGATGGAGGAAGAGAAGATGGAGGAAGAGAAGAAGATGGAAGGGGAGCGGATGAAGGAGGGGAGAAAATGAGGAAGAGAAGATGGAGGAAGAGAAGATGGAGGAAGAGAAGATGGAGGAAGAGAAGATGGAGGAAGAGAAGATGGAGAAGAGAAGAAGATGGAAGGGGAGCGGATGAAGGAGGGGAGAAAATGAGGAAGAGAAGATGGAGAAGAGAAGAAGATGGAAGGGGAGCGGAGAAGGGAGGGGAGAAAATGGAGGAGAGAAGATGGAGGAAGAGAAGATGGAGAAGAGAAGAAGATGGAAGGGGAGCGGATGAAGGAGGGGAGAAAATGAGGAAGAGAAGATGGAGGAAGAGAAGATGGAGGAAGAGAAGATGGAGGAAGAGAAGATGGA